CACACAATGTTCTGCTACTTTCCAGAAGGTTTCCACTGGCTATTTCATTCAGAAGTAGATCACCAGGTCCTTCATCCCAGTCCGTTTCAGTCTGGAAGCTCCGCTGAAACCTGTCCACCATGGATGACCCTGTTGTTATTTGAAATACTGGTAGCATAGCTTCCAGCATCACAGCAACATAAAAGCTACCACAGTATGACAAACTGACAGACCAGTGGTGGCAATCAACATTAGTGAGCTTTACAGCATTGTTTCTAAGAACCGCATGGAGACAAGCTCTGACTACCCATCCAACTGTAAGTCATTCACACAAACTGGTACAAAAGAGAAGACTATGCAGGATGGAAAGGCCAGGTATTAAGAAATAGCTAATGAAGGCCAGCACAGGCATAGTACCGTAACTTGGGTACTTCCTTGTTATCTTCCTCCTTTCCTTTTTCTTTGCTAATTCTTTCTTTATTTTTCTTCTTTTTCTTCCTTATATCCAGGGAATATCAAAGTTCGACGGGCACTTAGATATCATCTACCACAGACTCCTTAATTTACAGATGGAAAACACTAAGACTCCAATAAGGTAAAGAATTTGCCTAAGATCAAAAGTCTGATTTAAAAAGCAGGTCTGTCCAACTCTCAACACCTATTCTCTACTAAACCACACTGCCTCTTCAGAAAATTCCTTCCAAAACTAACACGCTGTTCTTAAACCTTAGTCTGCTATATAGAGAATGACAGTGTACAACATAACATATGCTAATATACAAGACAATACACGAAACCTCATATATTTCCCCACTGAATAATAATAATATTAATCTTTTTAAAAATTAGCTTCTGATAATCTGATTCATTGCTAAATTAAGAGAAAATAGATCGTTTAATACCAGATAATTTCTACCTTCTAAAGCCGCAACAACAGACTCAAACATACCAACAACCATGAAGATGCTAGGACCGGGCAACATTTCATTCTATTATACACAAGGTCACTGTGAGTTAGAGCCAACTCGACAGCAACTAACAACAACAAAAACAAAGATTTTAACTTTTATTATTATTAAATTCTTATTAAGTTATATTAACAGAAGTTAACGCTTATTTACTATTTGTAGGTGACAAGTACATTGATTTTATACATATTTCTTCAGGTTAGAGATGTCTCTCCACTCCACCTCCCAACCCTTCCACAAATTTTTCAACTAAATATAACATAGCAAGGGGTAGAATTTATCAAATTTTCTTGCCATTTTCCTAGTGTTCTTGGGGGTATTATAGTGTCCAAGAAAGTAGATGGTCCTATTTCCACATAGTATATTGGTTATGTTTTAACTTTACACCTTAAGTCTCAGGACCCAACTGAATTTCTGAACTGTACTTATCGCTGAAAAGTTTCAGCTATTTTCTAATTTACGAATTTACCCTATCCTTAGTTTCATAGGCCATAATTAAATCATAAAACTTTACACCACACTAACAAAATCATGTTTTATTATTTAGTTCTGATTAAGAACATGGATTTGGAGTATGACAACCTTGGATTTAAATCCTACTCCTACCACATACTAGCTGTGAGACCTCTCTTGAGTCCATCTGATACTTATATCACAGGGTTGGGGAGATTATTAAATGAAAGAAATGCTTTCTCTTTCCCAACTTCTCATTTCCCTTATTCAGCTTGTAGAACTCCTACTTTTTCTTCAAAATTCTTCTTCCAAGTTACTTTTTCTATATAACCACAGCATTTCCTTTCCTCATAGAGGAAGTTACTACATTTTCCATATTTTTATGAGTATTTCTCTCACTGTAAAAGTAATTATTTACAAATTCCTTTCCTTAGTCAGTCTATATGTTTCTGGACAGCAAGAATCCCAGTGCCTTCTAGAATGCATGAAATGTATTAGAAAGTCAAAAAGTGATAAAGGATGCTGAAGACTGAATCCTTGCCTAGATACCATGGACAAGTCCAGAGCAGTAAACCAGACTCTTCATTACCACCTAATGGAATGAAGAAAGCAAAGTTATCTACTGATACTTCTGCTTCTCAATCCTTGGGGAATTCATTTCTATGACCAGGCCCACCACTCCCTGCGAAGCTAGAAGCAACACAGAAACCAGACAGAAAGGGATCTAGTCCTAGACGAGAACATACTGGAAGAATGTTTATGTTTGCACACAACCTATAGTCTCCTGTGAGTCGTCTAACCTCAAAATTGTAGTAACCAAATAGAATGAAATAAAATTGACTTTCTCCATCAAGGATAAGATTCCTAAATATCACTTCCAAATTTTCTTTTCCTACCTGTTTTTCCTTCTCTAACCTTTCCCTATACACATCAGGCCAGATTGGAAAGATGAAAGGACTAAGGGAAGAATCATCAAAGTCTACTAAATTAGATAACTATGAATCAATGATTTAGAGGTAAAAGTTACCATATTTCTGTACTAACGCTCTAAAATAACCAAATTTCTAATTCAAGAATTCAATGTTTTCCATTATCTACAAGGTTTAAACTTTCTTTAAAGTACCTTATGAAAATATGATGGGTCACAAGCTGGAACAGCAGAATATCACAAATAAAAACAATTCCTCCAGAGTATGAAACCCCAAAACACCAAACTCACTGCTGTCGAGTCAATTCTGACTCATAGTGACCCCATGGCACAGAGAAGAACTGCCCCATAGGGTTTCCAAGCCTGTAAATCTTTACAGAAGCAGACTGCTACATCTTTCTCCCACAGAGCAGTAGGTAGGTTTGAACCACAGACCTTTAGGTTAGCAGCCGAGCACTTTAACCACAGCGCCACCAAGACTCCTCTCAAAGTATAAAAGTACTTAAAAACATATGCCCATTGACGAGAAGGAAAAAAAATTGAAGAAACCTGAGATTACTGGCAAACCAAAGATGCTTTAAGGTATGTGCCTAGTCTTTAGGGGTTACCAGAAAATAAATACACCCTCACAGGAGTACCTCCTGATGCTGTCAGAGATACAGCAGCACACAAAATGGAGCATGATTCTAACCCAGTATGTTACATCTCGTGTATGTTATAGGCAGCCTAATTCATAAACCAATTACCTTTTATGTTTTGCTTCTTGTAAGTCCCAAATAAATCACTCCTCTTTAAGGATATACACAGACAATAGTTAAGTAACTTCAAAATAGCTGCATAATTTAGGAAAAAACTGACAGACTTTACTTATTTTAACTTACTTTTATCTATTAAAAAAAAAAACGTCAGATTTTTTCAATGAGTTCTTACTTGTCTCATCAATTATTTCAATAGCTTATAAAAATATCCCTGAATTCTGAGTTTCTGTTAAGCTTAGGACAGCACAGTGAATGTAACAAATGTCACTGAATTGTACCCATAAAAATGGTTGAAATGGCAAATGTTTTGCTATGTATATTTCACCACAATTAAAAAAAAAAAAACCACACACACACACAAAAAAAAACTCAATGACAAAAAAAGCAAACAGCTCAACAAAAAAATGGACAGAAGATCTGAACAGATTCTTCACCAAATAAGATATGTGGATAATAAGCACATGAAAAAGTGCTCAATATCATGTGTCATTAGGGAAATGCAAATGGAAAGTGCAAAAGGTACCACTACACACCCATCAGACTAGCTAAACTTAAAAACAGACTGACAATATCAAATGCTAGAGAGGATGTACAACAACGAGAACTCTTAAACATTGCTAGTGGGAATGCAAAATGGTACAGCTAGTGTGGAAAATAGTGTGACAGTTTCTTATGAACTTAAATATACACTTGCCATACAACCCAGCAGTGCTACTCTTAGGTATCTGCCCAATAAAAATGAAAATTCATATTCACACAAAAACCTGAGTGTAAATATTCATAGTGGCTTTAGTCACAGTTGTTAAAAGCTTTGACTAGTCAATTAATGAACAAACTGGCACATCCAAACAAAAGACTACTACTCAGTAATAAAAAAGAAAGAACTATTATTATATGTAACAGCATGGGTACATCTCAAATGCATTTTGCTAAGTGAAAGAAGCCAAACCCAAAAGGCAACAAACTGTATTTTTCCATTTATGATATTCCGGAAAAAGCAAAACTATAGAGAACAGAAAAAAAGATCAGTAGTTGCCAGAGACTGAGAATGGGGGGAGGAGTTGACTACAAAGGGGCACAAGGGAGTTTTTGGGGTAATGAAACTGTCCTGTATCTTGATGGTGGTGGTAGTGATTATACAACTATACATGTTTGTCAAAACTCATAGAACTGTACACCAAAAAGGGTGAATTTCACTGTTAACTATACCCCAATAAACCTTACTTTAAAAAAAAAAAACACCCTGATTTGAATATATATCCCATGCTCGAAATTACTCAGAAGAATTATACAAACATCAAAAGGTCTTAAAAGCTACTAAATTAAGTACAGTCATGCCATACTGTAGACCTTAAACTGAAAGAGTCTGCTGATTAATAACACACCTTAAACACTTGCGGACTAAAATATAAATGCTGCACACTCTGAAGCATAGCATTCTCAGGTTTCACTGGGCACTTTTTCAGCATGTCAACAAATACAAAGCTTCTCCTAAGGAAAACTTTGGTCCTCCTGTAGGGAGTTCTCCTTAATTTCCACAGCACATCAGTAAACACCATCATCTTCAATACTACCATGGAAGCATCTGGTAACTTACATGTGAGTGTGTGTGCTCGCGTGTATTCCAGTACTACTTAGAAAAAGTCTGGAAGGTGTAATTACCACTCCACTCATTCATTTCCTATAATACTGGCTGTCATTAGGAGATAGGTTTAAGAACAGTGATTTTTACTTTCTTTTTCACAGTTTTCTGAATCAGCCAGATTTTTTTTCAGTGAACATATATTTTATAATTAGAAAAACATTAAAGCCATTTCCATTTAAAAAATAAGTGAGATATAAATTATCAATAAGTAAATAAACTACAGTTATGAAGTCCATTAATACAGACTCACCATGGCATATCACACTCACCTGCTTCATTACACAAGGCTTTCAGGTCCGCTCCAACATATCCATGAGCACTATTTGCCAGCTGCAACAGTTCAGCTTCAGTGAGCAGATGGGGTACCTTTCGAAGCAGCTTCTGGAGGATATCCAAACGGTCCTCAGCATTAGGAACTCCAATCTCAATCTCTTTATCAAATCGGCCAGGTCTTCGCAGTGCAGCATCTAAAGCATGAGGGCGATTAGTGGCCCCAAGGACCAACACTTGTCCTTCACTTCCTTCCTAACAAAATGAAATGAAAATAAATTACATATTATTACAAAAGTAAATAAACAAACAGATAAAGGAGAGGTGGCCCCACTGGCTATATAGAGGATGGATCTAAATGCCCAGACTGCTAAATCTTACCCCTTACATTTATGTACTGCCCACCCCACATTTTTCAAAGCTCAGCCTAAATGCTTCCTCCTCTAGGAAGTTTTCCAATACTTTCTTTTCCATCTCACTGTAAGTAAGTGATGTTTCTCTCACTTCTTTTACCTTAACTACACCATTCTCATAAATAATATAATACCCTGCCTTACGGTGGTCTTAATACATGTCCTTTTCCCCTACTTGAGAGCAAAGACTATGAGCTACATACTATTCAAAAAGAACAAGGCTTTATTAGAACTTTGTCTAAGAAATCTTCCTCATACATGAACCGTTTTTTTTTTATTTTGATAAATTTTTAAGTTCCTGAAAATACAGACAATAAGATAACCTACATCCAAATATCAGCCACTCTTAAATACATATGGATTTTAACTCCCCAAACTAAATTTGAATTCACACTCTGAAAATGAAATTAGGAACATCAAAATATAAAGAACTATGCTCATGATCAACCACTTGTAAAAGTTATTGACTATTCTATTAAGATGTTCTGAATATAATCTCAAAGAGATTATAAGAAAACTCATACCTAATCAATTATACTGGACGTACTAACAGAAAAGGCACAGACAACACTGAATCTAAAAATTACAGGTTTAGAAGGACAAATGTTGTTGTTGTTGTTAGGTGCCGTCAATTTGGTTCTGACTCATAGTGACCCTGTGTACAACGGAACAAAACACTGCCTGGTCCTGTGCCATCCTCACAATTGTTCCTACGTTTGAGTCATTGTTATTGCAGCCACTGTGTCAGTCCATCTCATTGAGGGTCAAATAGAGGACAAACAGAAGGACAAATAGAGGCCCAAAAACACTTTCAGACTAAAACATCAGCATCACGTTTCCAGCAGTGCCTAAAGGTGAGAACACCAGTCCGTTCACCAAGCCTATGCGAGTTGTGGAGAAAGAGGCAGCAGACGGACTTAGTGATTTGTTGTTGTTGTTAGCTGGCACTGAGTTGGCCCCCAACTCATGGTGACGCCACACACCACGAAAGTAAATGCCGCTTGGCCCTGAGCTATCCCCATGATTAGCTGTAGATCGGACTTGATCACTGGCTGATTTTCTGAAGCAGGTCACCAGTCCTTTCCTCCTAGTTTGCCTTAGTCTGGAAGCTCCTGATCTTCCAATACAGAGCCTTCCATCTGATTCCCTACTCGCCAAGGACCGTTCTAATTATAATGCAACTCTCCATATATATTTGCCTCCAGGGTGAAAATATGGTCATCCATAAATAAAGAGTTTTGGTTGGCTTAATGGTTATATTTCTTACTATAAATGGATAAACTGGCATTCTGGTTTATAAGTCAGTCTCTTGTGAGTGTTATCCCGGGTCAGTTCTCAAAGCTCGATCATTTCTAACATAGTAACAACACTGAATTCTCCACCTTCTTTAGCTGAGAACCAAACCCAGAACATGATGATCACACCTAGGTACTCTTCCAGGATTGACAATTAGGTTGTAATCCAGACTCCCTAAGTGATAACCATTCTCTAGTGTGATTCTTAAAATTACGAGTACCACATGGTAGCAAGTAACACAGAAAATAACAGAGACTCATGACCAAACCTTCATGTTAGTCTCACATGCTCAGTTTCTAACAACAGCCAGTAAAAACTAGCAGGTTCTAATTAGCCAGATTTTTTTTTTTTTAATTGTTGTATTTTAAGTGACTTGCTCAGATTTTTAATGTGTAATTGGACTGGGACTACATGATTTTTAAGAATTTTTTAGCTTCTAACATAATTCTAAAAACATATCATGATTCTAAAAACTTCAGTTATATACAATCCTCTAAAAGAAGTGTATTGTTCTGGTTAAAGGCTGTCAGGAATCTGAGAGAATTTCTCTTCATTCCTGTTCTCTACCAGTCTTATGGATGTCCCTTTCATAACCAGCATACAATTTTTATTAATACAAGCGTGAATACTCTCTCAGAGAATCTGATAATACGGATAAATTCTCTTAAACTTTTACTAACACATTTTCTATCATTCTTTCTTTCTTTTCACTTGCCTAGTAACCCGTTGCCATCAAGTCAATTCCAACTCATAGTGACTCTATCGGATAGAGCAGAACTGCCCCAAGAGTTTCCAAGGAGCACCTGGTGGATTCGAACTGCCGACCTTTTGGTTAGCAGCTGTAGCTCTTAACCACCACACCACCAAGGTTTCCGACTTGCCTAGTACAAAGCCCCTGAAGAATCCATTTTATACGAGTAATAAGACTTACTCATGAAATTTCTAGTAATGTGTCCTAAAATTTAACTGTTGAATCTTCCTTACCGAGTTTGCTTCAGGTGTTTAAGTTACTACCTTTATCACAAACGAAATTCATCATGGTATATACTATCTTATATTCTGGAAAAACATGCCATATGTTGCCCTAGCAGTTACTAAGTAATCTGCTGAAGAAAGTTGTTTTATGGGTCTTTCCTCTAGTTCTATGGCTAACATTGCTCCCTTATCCTACAATACTCAAAGACTTAGATATTCAATAGCTTCTGTTACTAGATATTACACATGAGGAATCAAGACTCTCCTACAAAGAATCAATCCTAGTTCTGTACTTACTGAACCAATGCCATCCATCAGTGTTAAGAGTGAGGCTACAACTCTTTTTTCCACTTCATTCTGAGCCCCTTCTCTCTTAGGGCAAAGTGCATCTAGCTCATCAATAAATATAATTGATGGGTGTCTAAAAATAAATAAATAAATAAGTAAAATGAATTCTGTAATTTACATTTTAAGTTTCACTTAGTCTCAATTTTTTAACTGAAATGCAACAGATCAAATTTAAAAGTCTCTTAAAGATATTAAAGACAAAGGCATTAAGGTATTAAGCTGAAAAACCTGAGATTAATTATAGCTCAAATTATTAACTCGCCAATATCACACTCTAGTGGAGTCTATCTTCAATAAAAAGGCAGAATATTGAGAACAGCCTATTGCCCATGAGATGAGAGTCTGTGACCAAACAAAATTCATTGACTGTACCCGTACTATACCCGCTGCCATTGAGTCGATTCCAACTCATCGCGACCCTATAGGACAGAGTAGAACTGCCTCATACAGTTTCCAAGGAGTGGCTAGTGGATTTGAACTGCCGACCTTTTAGTTAGCAGCCAAGCTCTTAACTCTATGCCATTGTTAAAAACTGAATTGATTCAGAAGCTGAGGCTAGAGATGTCCCTTTGAAGCAAGTGTCAAGCCCTATGGATATAACCTAGAAATGCCCTTTTTTCCCCCTTTAAAAACAGAACTTTCAAGATGATCAATTCTTCCATAAGAAGATGTGAATTCTCTAATAAGAAACCTCAACTGCCAAGAACATAACAAACAGACTCAAATACTAAAATATAAGGTGTAACACTGTTCCTTATATTTTCAGTACTAGAACTACCATCTACTTATTTCATCTGCTATCACTAGATTTAAAAGTGGCAGTTCTTTTGATAAGAGAGCTGTAATTATGATAAATACCAAAAAACGGTAGAAACACAAACATAATAGTATTATGTTAGAACAAATTAAAGACCATACTTCTAGTGCTCAGTGCAATGTAACAGTGTAACCTACATTCAGGAATAATCAATAAGAAGTTTTTTAAGGGCAAAAGATCTGGCCCTTTGAAGTACAGCATAATAAAATAGTTTTAAGCATAAGACGCTAGTACTATAACTATACTATAGTCTACTAAGGGAGCTAGGTATACTGGATATGCCTTAGTACCTTAAAGAAAATCATAAATTGATATGTTCAAACCAAGGTCATATGATTTATCAAATAACACCTTGCCTTAATTCTTCTACTCTATGTAACTTAGCTTATTTATCAAACCTTCAAAACAACATTAGACTTAAATCAGAATTTCATTAACTCTACCATCTACTTGTAGTGCTATTGCTATTATTTTTGCACTACTCTTTTACGTTCTGTATAAAGTACTAGTATTTTAGGATTAAAACAGCTTTGACTATTAATTCCAAAAAGTCTAAAAATAAAGGAGAAATACCGCAGAGTGGCTTCAGCAAATATCTGACGTAACCTTGCTTCAGTCTCGCCATAAAATCTGTAATAAATAAAATACATTTAAGAACCAATTCTTATTATTTTTAAAGCTTTGTCATTAAACCTAATCTGCTTCTGAAATATTTCCAGAATTCTTAAAATTACTTTCCAAAAATTACTTTCCAAACTTATTTTGACACACACTAAAAAGCAAATTTAGTTTAGGGTCATGGTTTCATGGGACATCCCAGCTAACTGGCCTAATAATGTGGTTCATGCTTCTGTTCTATCTCCTAGTTTGTTGCATGGTGCCTGGGGTCTTAAAAGCTTATAAGCAGCCATCCAAGGCACAACAATTGTTCTCTATTCACCTGGAGCAACTGAGGAAGAAGGAGAATCAGGGATAGGCAGAGGATATGCAATCCGTGGTTAACTGCCTCCATGAACAACTGTCTCCTTTGCCATGAGACCAGAAAAACTGGATGGTGCCCAGCTACCATTACCGAACATCTTGATCAAAGATTCCACAGAAGAATCCTGATCAAAAGGGGGAAAATGCAGCAAAGAATTCCAAATTCTCATGGACTCTAGACTTTCTGGAGCCATGGAGGGTAGATGAACCCCCTGAAATTACTGTCCTGAGATAATCTTTAAACCTTAAACCAAAAATATCCCCTGAAGTCATCTTAAAAATGAACAGTAGTTTAGCTTAACTAGTAAAAAAGCTCTGCCTTAAGCATTATGCTCTTTAAGAACTATCTATATGGGATCAAATTGACAATAGCAACTCAAAAGATTAGATAGGAACTTTAGGGGGCCGTGAGTTTATGTTAATGAGGGAAGAACAACTCAGAAAAAGAGGGTGAGAATGGTTGTACAACTTAAAGAATGTAATCAATGTCATTAAACTGTACATACAGCAACTGTTGAACTGGTGTATATTTTGCTGTATATATTCTCAACAACTACAAAATAAATGAAATGTATGGGAAAAAAAAAGCAAATTTAAAATATTTCAATGAATGGAATATCCAGACAGTGGAATACTATGCAGTCATTTTTTTAAGAAATATATTTAATAATATTGGTCTACTAAATAATGTACCTACTTGCTAATAATTTCAGGACCATTAATTACAGAAACATAGGCTCCAACTTCATTAGCAATAGCCCTGGCAATCATTGTCTTTCCAGTACCTGGAGGGCCATACAGTAACACTCCTCTGGGGGGAGGAATTCCTATAAGAAAAAGAACAGAAGGTTGGATTCAGCATTACTAGGTTTCTTACAAGGTTTGTCATATGACTTCGAACATGAGCTATAAAGTGTATATTTGCATCACAAAACTAACGCAGGAGTCAGACTTTTTCCCTCCAAGAAAAGATGTACTAAATAGCACAAACTTTGAGCCCCAGCAATGACTATCTCTTTATAGACAGCAGACTGATAAAAAACCAGCTGGACACACACATTGTTGCCAAGCCCATCCACATAGCATAGTTCAATGAGCAGAAAACAAAGCCCAGGCAACATGGACAGCCAAAAGCAAGATACGGTGCCCATTTTCTTTCAGTGAGGCATCTTGGATAGTATATAAGCATTAACAGCAAAATGTCAATCCAAGGATTCCTCTTATAAAGATTCATAAAAAAGGAAAAAGCAGAAATAAAAATAACATGCACCAAATATACCCACCCAGAGAATCTGGGCAGTATCCATGCAGAGGAAGCCCTGAGTGTCCTAGTAGCCACATCACACCCTTAACTATTTGCCTCAACACAAAGACATCTGTACACAGCTACACTTTCTAATAAAGAAGTTTCATCCAATGTATTTGAATGTTTGGTTTACTTATATAGTCATTACGCTGATCTAGCATGACACGATACTTATTTTAGTCCAATCCAAACAACTGTGAAAGTATGCATTTAGAAGAGACAAGGCTGTCACTAACTCACATCACAATCTAGAGACCAAAGCCCAGAAAATGGCTCTCTAAACTGGCATCTCCCAAGCAACTGACATCATCTACAATACCTACCCATCAGGAGATAAAAACAGGAAAAGAGGGGCAACAATCATTAGGTTAGGGAAATAACAAGTTAGTGAAACTGCTTGTTGGTTGGAATTTAACACTTTTGAGGGCAATAAACTAAAAAAATCATACCATAACTCTTGAAAAGTTCAGGCTGTTTGAGAGGCAATTCAATTATTTCTCTAATTGCTTTCAGCTGACTATTCAAGCCTCCTATCATGTCATAGGTTACTTTGAATTGGTTGTCTTGCTCTTTTGAATTTGTACGAATCTTAGCAAATTTGACTCTTGTTGTTGAAGAAATAAAATAAAAATTATCAGTGTTGCATTTTGCTCCCATGCTGGCTGCTTTTAGCAATCTCTCTTCATTGATAAGTTGTTCATTTCCTTCTCTTGCAGACTCAACACTACATTTAAGACCTGTGACTTCCTGTAGCCCAAGTCCACTATGTTCCCCAGGATTCTGTGCAACATCCAACAAAATGTCATCAGCTTTATTGATAATTCTGTCATCTACTGGCTTGCAAGGAGTACTGCTTGATGCCGGCTCCCAGGGCTCTTCCAGACCTAACCGGCTTAGCTGTAAGGCCATATCCAGGCTGCTGGCTTCCATGCTGGACTGTTTAGAGGTCACTTCCTGGTTACCAGTATCAGAGTCGTTCTGAGGCCATCCCAGTATCATGCCGTCTGTCCCTTTCACTCGCAACACTTGCAACTTGCATGGTTTTCCATAAAATGTGCAGTACAGAAAGTTGCCTGGTAAAACAATCTTGCCATCTAGAAAACAATTCATTAAATATACATGTTAGTACAAGTATTCACAAGATTAACATTTAAATAATAATTTAACCTGTTAACAAAGTTACCTGACTAAAAGACTGAAAATTCTAAATCAAAGGTGGAATATTATAAAGTAACTGCTATGAAAAAATACAGGACCTAATATTTGCCTAAGATACAGCACTATGTGGAGAGAGAAGAAAAACAAGCAAAGATGATTCTTTGAGATCCTCCACACCCAAGAGATTTAAGATTCTAGACCAAACATATCAACAAATAGGAATTCCACATTCGATAATTAACTAACCCAAAATGGTACACCTAAACCAGTTCTCCAAGATAATATTTCTCACTAGAGCAAAAGCTTAGGGGTTAAAAGCAGGGCTTCGGACCAGTTCTTTCCAGTTTGACTCCCCTTCTGGTTCAAAGCCCTGGTTAAAAGTCCTCAGTTCTGCCACTGACAATGTCCATAAACAAGTCATATATTCTCTCTACTCCTCACCTGCCAATCAATTAATTGGGAACAGTAACACACACTTATCTCACAACGATATTAATTCACTGAAGGGAATATTCTCTAAGCTATTCTAAAGAAAACTATTATGCATATAAGATCTCAAAGACACTTTTTTACTGCTGCATTACTTCTCAAAAATTAAGAAAACAATTTAAATACACGTCTCACCTAGTTTTCTCAGAAGACAACCAGTCAGTTCTTCTTCATTAATCTCTATATTTTTGTTACTGTAGGAGATGAGACCGGAGCGAGGGCAGGAGGGGAGAATGAATGGAATAGAAGTTGGCATTAAGTACGCCAGAAACTAAAATGTAACATAAAATGACACGTGCATAGTTGTCATACACCCAAAAGCCCACTGTCGTTGAGTTGGTTCCCACTCATAGTGATCTTACAGGACAGAGTAGAACTGCCTCATGGGGTTTCCAACACTGTAACTCTGTACAGAAGCAGACTGCCACATCTTTCTCCCGTGGCGCAGCTGGTAGGCTCAGACCACTAACCTTTTGGTTAGCAGCCGAGCACTTTAACCACTGCAGCACCAGGACTTCTAGTTGTTATTATAGACCTGATCAAAAGAGTAGTTCATTTACATCCCAGAAATGATTTACATAATTTTGGTAAGACCAAAAAATAATACTTTCCCGATACTTCTTATAGCCATGAAAATATCATTTGCGATCTGGTGTCTAGTGGCCTAAATCAGTGTCCTTCAAAATACAGATTACTTCCAATTAGTGAGTCATGACATCATTTCAGTGAGTCCCATCCAGCATTTAATAGAATACAAAATGTCAAGTATATTACACATAAAAAGGGTAAATACTGCTTTATAAAATATCTATCTCTTGTACACATACAAATGCATGTATATACATAAACATACGTATCTATATACACACATATACCTACAGGTACAAAGGTGTATGCATATGTGCAGTTTATCTGTATATATGTCGGTGTCTGTGTACAATAAATTATAATGAAAAATGTATTTTTTATTGTGTATCATAGTCAAAAACATTTGAAAAACACTAAGCTAAATTAATCATTCTCTTTCTGAACTTGCTTATCTTGGAAAAAGTCTTTTATTAATAATTTATTTCATTCTCTTTGTATAATTTATAAACTATCTCTTCAGGAAAATTAAACCCAATATAGTATGTAATCTGAAGAGGTAGAAATAAGAAAAAGGAATATAAAGGTTACAGTGGAAGTTTACTCTGGGGAAAAGGTACTGCCTGAGAAAAAATGAAAACCCATTTACACTGATTGATAACCCCCATGAGGGTTGCTTGTTTGAGTGCAGGAAGTAGCACAGGTAAAATCATTGCACTTGTAAAGAGATATGCCCTTGGAGAGTTCTAAAACATGTGAATTTTTCCTCCTCAGTCTAAAAGCAATCTGTATCAGCAGAGGAGGCCTCTGGCTGTTCAGCTCTGCCAGCGACCAAACCAATGGGGGGTGGAGGAGAGTATGAGATAAGTTTAGCTCAGGAGAAGGAGTATTAGCATGCCTACAGGATCAAAATCTAAGCCTTGTTTTCCAACCACTTTATCAGTAATAAAACCAATATATTCATATAAAAGAAAGAGTGAAAGAAAACAAGAAGGAAATCTCAGGAATCAAATATACACATAAACTAAAGAAGAAATTCAGCTCAAATTTGCTTCTAGAACTCTGAATAAATGTATACTTAGATTGCTTGTATTTATTAAACTCTGAATAGAAGATACTTACAAATATGCATAAGATCAGTAAAAAATACTCAACCAGTTTTAAGAAAACAATGGGTACAAATAAAATAATTTCCACTAGAGGGAGCTCTAACCTTACTAATAAAATTTTTCGTTTGCAAATGAAGGCTTCAAGTAGCTGGTTAAAATTACTGATTTTTCTTAATGGAAATTAACTTTTTTTAACTATGCTCTGCTGCTACATTTAAGAACATAAGATTTCTGAAAAGTAAAACATAAAAACCAACCTTCCATTTAAAACAGTTACATAGCCCCCGGTAAGTCTGAGCTGACTCAAGGGCATCCAACACCAGATCACCTCAGGCTGCTGGACACTCAAAAGGCCAGATTAGTTTGTGGACCATCATAAATGCTAACTCCAGTCAACTGACTACTCCTGCCTGCAGCACTGTTTTAAGATGAAGCCTAAGGATTAATCTGGTTTAATCTGAACAGAATTACTAACTACCTGTAAACTAACAGGCAAGTTACTTATCCTCACTAAGCCCATTTCCTCATCTATAAAACAGAGACAAATATGGGCCTTGAAGGGGTATTGAGGATTAAATGAGATAAGAAAAAGGGAAAAAAACAGCATGTGAGTGTTTGCATGTGTGTGCATTTGGTACACAGCAAGTGCTCAATATGTGCTAATTCTCTTCTCTTTCCCTTTCTTTTTATTTTATTCACTAAATTGTAATTAAATGCTCTGGAAACATTTTCCTATTTTTAAATGACAAAAATGTGCCAAAATTCAAGCTTGGAATCTACAGGTAGCAAAAGAGAAGAACATTTTTAATCAAGCTAATAAAGGGAAAATGTTTTGTGATTCCTGTATATAATGTAAAGACATTTCCCAAAATCGTTATTAATGTAGTACTAAAGTATCAAGAGATACTTTTTTAAAAAATAAGTTTTGGTATGACCTGTATATGCAAATTTGGTCAAAATCCTAGTAGATATAGAATATCTAAGAGGATGGGTGATTAACTATGTGGTAGGTTGATACAAATAATTAGACTTTAGTGAGAGACTATTTCAACATCTGATGGAAATGACAATTTATTTTACTAAACTGCATAATCAATGAGTTAAAATACACAATTATGCATTTTGCTTGGGCAATCTTAATTAAACTTGTTTCTTTCCTACTCACAGTAACTTCCTTCTTGATAACCATACAATGACAAGAACCTCTAATTATACTATAAACCAATATGAAAAATGTTTTAAAATATTTACCAGTAATAATTGCTCTCATTTAAAAATGTCAGGACACACTGTAATCATAAAACATTAGAAAGTCTCTAGTCCATAAATTAAATAGCACTCGTCTATCTCGCGCCATCTAGACACTAGCCACAATTGGCTACTGAGCACTTGAAATGCGGCTAGTTCAAGTTAATACGTGCTGCAAGTATAACATACACACTGCACTTTGAAGACTTCATTTAAAAATAATAATGTAAATTAGCTTATAATTAAGTTTTATATGTTAAAATACTAAGATTTTAGATACATTTGTTAAATACAGTACTAAAATTAATTTACCTGCTAAAAAATGTAAAATTACATACATGGTTCACATTTGTGACTTGTATTAAATTTCTATTAGACAGCACTGATCCAGACAGTCACCAAAGAAAAGAGCCAAACCTCAATGCCACGTCCATTTCCTCAGCCTGCAGCACAGCACCAACAATAGGCTGGACCTGAATGGCATCACCAGGCTTCACACCCACATTCTTCTGTGCCATTTCACTCAGGCCAACTTTGCCTCCAGGAAATCCTGACACAGGCCAGGCTGTATAGACCTGCCCAGAACACAGGAAATAAATAATTTAGAAAATAAATATTCAGGCTGTCATCAATTTACAAGGCAAAATACTAGGCACAGTCAAGCACATGGATCTGCAAAACACAGTGCCTACTCCAGAAGAGTTACAATCTAAGTTGCAGTAAGATAAATTAGACTAAAAATAAATTTAAAAAATACTACATGAGTTACAAAAAATTAAAAAAATTTTTTTTTTAATGTTTACAGGAACACAAACTCTCCTATGCACATATCACTTAAATAACCCGATATAGCAAAAATGAGTGGAGAAACCTTCCTATAATATTTTCACCTTAGCTGTTTCGATTTGACTATGGGATTAACTTGTGTGTACCAATGAAAGAAGCTCAAGAGGACTAGGACACTTTTCCAAATCTCAAGAAGAGCCGGGTCATAGACTACAGAAATCAGTGAGTGATCAGACTCCAGAGCCCTTTCTATGATGAAGTAGTGACAGCCATCAGAAGCCTCATATTCTTTAGCACCACCGGTGGGCCTTTGAAAGCGTTTATATTAACTGCCTTCTCAACAATGCCTCCCTGTGTCCACATTCATTTGTACTGCGCTTCCACACTGACTCTGGGTATGCCCATGTGTCTTGCTTTGTCCAATGGACAGCAGCAAACTTTATATAAACAGAGATTTGAAAAGCACTTCTGCCTGTTCACTCCCTCTCTTGATCTTCTGTGCCTGCTGTGAGAGGACAGCGGAAGAGATCTAAGTCATAGAAGTTGAGGCGAATGTTGACTAGCCAGCCCCCAAATGATCTGCCAATTGACTGTGGACGCATGAGTGAGCCAAGCTGCAATCCAGAGAGCTCAATTCAGATCAAAAGAACTACCTAATTAACCTGTAGACTCATGAGAAATAGTAAATAGTTGTTAAGTCAATAAATTCAGGAAAAATTTTTTTTCTTAATGATTACATCCTTTTGCAAATCTCAAGAATGATTCCACAGTAAAGATGGTATAAGATTTGAAAGGTGGATTTAGAAAAAGAAACAAAAGCATTAATGGTTGATAAGAAGAAAATGGGAAAAACACTGAAGGCAAGATAACTGGGAAGCAAGTAATCCAGCCTAGGGCATAAACTACATCCAGAAAGTAATCAGGACAAGGCACAAGAGCTTCCTTGGAGCCTGGATCTCATCAGACTTAAATGTTAAGACAGCAAAGATTTCTGGCTCAAAATAGCAGGATGAGCTCATACATTTATAGTCCTCTCTTCCACAAGACACAGTAATGGATTTTTAAAGATATAAACCCAGAACAATGAAAAGAAACAAAGGGGTGTCATCAGCAGACAAGAGATTTCAAAATATCTACACAAAGGCACCACAGTGAATGAGAGAACACCAACTGATAAGCAGATAGAAGAAACACAGCATCAGGTAGGGGCCAAGCTAGCAAAAACGATCCACGAAAGGCTCTGAGCTTGGAGTGCCAGGTCTGATGAATGGCAGCAAGGAGAAACACAGCTGAAAACAGGGATAGTAAATGAGTATTTGTATACAGAACAGGTGACCTTCATACCCCAAAATAACATTTCTGTAAAGAAACATAACCCACAGACTAGGAGAAACAGGACTTACAGTGTGTGTCAGCACTGCAGAAGGAAATTCCTCTCTCCACTTTATGACATTTAGAAACTACTCTGATCAAGAATCGCTGGTACTGAAGGAAGAAGTTCAAGCTGCACTGAAGGCACTGGTGAAAAACTAAACTCCAAGAACTGACAAAATACCAACGGAGACGCTTCAACAAACAAATGCCAACACTGGAAGCACTCACTTGTCTCTGTCAAGAAATTTGGAAGACAGCTACCTGACCAACCAGCTGAAAGAGATCCATATTTGTACACATTCCAAAGAAAAGTGATCAAACAGAATGCGAAAATTATCAAACAATATCATTAATACAACATGCTAGCAAAATTTTGCTGAAGATAATTCAAAAATGGCCGCAGTCATATATTGATAAGGAACTGCCAGAAGTTCAAGCTGGTTTCAGGAGAGGACGTGGAAAGAGGGGTATCACTGCTGATGTCAGATGGATCTTGGCCGAAAGCAGAGAATACCAGAAAGATGTTTACCTGTGTTTTACTGACTATGCAATGGCATTCAACTGTGTCAATCAGAACAAATGATGCAGAGCAGTGGTTAAGTGCTAACCAAAAGGCCAGCAGTTCAAATCTAGCAGTTGCTCTTTGGAAACTCTATGGGGCAGTTTTACTCTGTCCTACAGATTGTTACGAGTCAGAATTTACTCAACGGCAACAGATTTGGCTAGGTTTTTTTTGTTTTGTTTTGCAAAGAATGTGAATTCCAGTACACTAAATTCTGCTCATGCAGAACCTGTACATAGAGCAAAAGGCAGTCATTTGAACAGAGTAAGAGAATTCTGCATGGTTTAGAATCAAGAAAGGTGCACGTCGCTAAATAATATGTTTACTTTACATAAATAATTATATTAATAAAAAAGCAAAGAAGAAAAAAAACTAGTTGTCCTGGAATCAGTTCTGACACATAACCACCCCTTGTGTGTTAGAGAACTGTGCTCCGTAGCATTTTCAATGGCTGTGACCTTTCAGAAGTAGATCTTTTCTTCTTCCAAGGTGCCTCTAAGTGGATTCGACTAGCCAAACTTTCAGTCAGTAGCTGAGCGCTTAGCCGTTTGCATCTCCCAGGTGACCTAATTATGTGAATAATTGAGCTCAAATATGAAAGTAAAGGAAGTTTCTACAGTATGAAAAAATACTATAGCAGAGTTGTGAAGCTGCAGGTATTCAATCTCTAGCGTTAATGTCCTTTCAAATTCTTAGTTATATAATGGCTCTAGGCTCCTTTAATGTCCCTCTCAAATACAATTTAATATTTAATGTATATTTAAATAACTATATAAATGTGAATTTTTACTAATCTCTTGATGAGGAAACAAATAAATTTCCTTCTTACACCTCATATTGAAATGTGGAAAGCAATTTGTTGGGAGTTTAGGACATTTTTAAGTGCCCAGTTTTATGATGATAATATAATATATACCATGTTCCTAAATTTCCAGTGGAGTCTGGCAGAAAGAAAAAAAAAAAAAAAGAAAGGTGCACATCAGGGTTGCATACCTTCACCATACTCATTCAATCTGTATGCTGAGCAAATAATCCAAGAAGCTGGACTACATGAAGAAGAATGTGGCATCAGGATTAACAACCTGAGATATGCAGATGACACAACCTTGCTTGCTGAAAATGAAGACAACTTGAAGCACATACTGATGAAGGTCAACGAACATAGCCTTCAGTATGGATTATACCTAAACATAAAACAAAAATCCTCACAAACAATAAACGTCATGATAAATGGAGAAAATATTGAAGTTGTCAAGGATTTCATTCGACTTGGATCAACAATCAACATCCATGGAAGCAACAGTCAAGAAATCAAATGATATATTACACTGGGCAGACCTGCTGCAAAAAACCTCTTTAAAGTTCTAAAAAGCAAAGATGAGACTTAGATGACTGAGGCACACCCGACCCAAGTCATGGTCTTTTCAATCGCCACATACGCATGTGAAAGCTGGACAATGAAAAAGACAGAAGAATAGATGCGTTCGAATTGTTGTGTTAGCAAAGAACACTCAATGTATCATGGACTTTCAGAAGAATGAATAAATCAGTCTTAAAAGACATACAACTGAAACGTTCCTTAGAAGCAAGGATGGTGAGACTTGGTCTTGATTACTTTGGACACATTATCAGGAAAGACCAATCACTAGAAAAAGACATCATGTTTGGTAAAGAGTCATCGAAAATGAGGAAAACCCTCAATGAGGGGGACTGACTCAACAGCCTCAACAATGGGCTCAAATATTTCAAAGATCATGGATATGGCACAAGATCGGGCAACATTTCATTCTGTTGTACATGGGGTCGCCATGAGTTGGAGCCAACTCAACAGCAACTAACAAAAACAAAAACATACCTAAGGTAGTCATAGACATCAAGGGAAGAAACAGTTTATATGTATTTAAGTGTCATTTACAATGCAGATCATTCCCATTTATTCCTGCTTGTGTTGAAAAACTGAGAAACACCTCAAATCTTTCTAAAGGAAATGAAAAACATTCTTACCTCTTGCTTTCCATCCAAACTGGTAAGCAACACTGGCCGGCCTATACATATATTTGCAGACTTCATAGTGTTGAGTCCAAACTGAACAAGGGAATTCCGGAATGTTTTAGGAACTTTGTCATCTTTATGAAGAAAAAGAAAATTACTGTTGTACTATTTTGCAACCGAAGTGAATGCTTACTTTCTTTTAGAGTAAATAAAAATCCCCAATCCATATAACCATTTGAATGTATTTACCATACCCGGGAGAAACCACTGTTCTAATCCTCCTTATTTTAAAAAACGGATTTAAAAACAAACTCTTCTGGGGGTCCACCGACAATATGAGTGCTAACTAAAAGTAGGATTTTGCTTTATAAGCAAATATTGTTTTTTTGTTGTTTTTTTTTAATTCTTAATTTCCTAAAGAACTGAATATACTTGCAATAGTCTCTAAGCTTTCCTGGAAGTCCCTGGGTGGCACAAATGGTTAAGCACTCGACAACTAACCGAAAGATTGGCGGTTCAAACCCACCCAGAGGTGCCTCAGAAGATAGGCCTGGCAATCTGCTTCTGAAAGGTCGCAGCCTTGAAAACCTTATGGAGTAGTTCTACTCTACACACATGGGTCGGACTCGACTTGACAGCCACCATTACCGACACCAAGGTTTTCCTAGTAAAGATTCCAAATTGAGTCTGCTACTAGTATTCACAGCCTTAAATGGGCAGCAGAATTCTCTTCCCTTTCCAAAAGGGCACATTTACCTGGCTCTCAAGGATTAAGTTATGTTTCCACTTCTGAATCAGGTATTTTTCTTTTCTATTCTCAAGAATACGTCAACAGAATAGTAAAACGTGTCTTATTCCTGTGCTTACACTTACTGAAATACCACTCGTCAATTCAATCTCTGCTCTAAAGAAAGGGTCCAGACTTGGCCTAGTTGGCAATACTTCTGAAAATAACTCTATCATCTCCACTTCTTCCTACCCACTCAAAGCTCCGGATTTGGTCAGGTGTCCCTCCTTTGACTCTTCTAGGACCCGGAGCTGCCATAGTTACTAGTATTTATAATCATAATATTCATTTGTTTAATACTCTGACTTACTCCTAAACTGTACACCGCTTTGGGGAAAGAATTGGGTCATATTTATCTTTGGATCTCCAATGTCTGGTAGTGTTCCAAATACAGCAGTTACACAATAAATATCTATGAAATGTATGAAGAAAATGAGTATACAATATTTTCCTTTGTAGCACAAAACCCATGAAACATTTATGAAATTTTAGGCTACCACAAACTTTGTTATAAACTTATTACAGACACATATACCATACTCATAGCAGCTTTACCTAATGTTAGTGTTCCTTAATAATCAAAAAGACATATTTCTACTGAGAAAGTAATTAAATTACTGAAAATAAAACTATGAGGTATTCCTGATTTACATTATTCTCTGCCACTATAAATTCCCAATAAAAGCAAAACCAAACCAAACCGGTTGCCATCGAGTCGATTCCGACTCATAGCGACCCTATAGAACAGAGTAGAAGTGCCCCATAGAGTTTCCAAGGAGCAGCTGGTGGATTTGAACTGCCAACCTTCTGGTTAGCAGCCAAACTCTTCACCACTCCACCACCAGGGCCCCATAACTTCCCAATACATATTTATTTTCTTTCTTTCATGAGATGAATACTAGAAAAACAAAGCATCTCACAGAGCTAAGGTTAACAGTACTGAGTATAAAACAAAGTGAGCATATGACATAATAATGAGAGGCTGAACAGAGTATCAGGTCTCTTACACAATCTACCCATCAATAACAGCAAAACATTCTGCTGTTTGATGGCCTCATGATGTTTAGTTCCTGCCACTTCTCTTTTTCTAAACTCCAATGAATTACCCTTTGCTTTTGACAGTTACCTCACTGGGCTTCACAAGATTCTAGGTTTGCTTTTCCTCCATTCTATCCTGCACATACACCATGCACCAGATTTTGACATCACAGGCTTCCTCACTGTTGTTGGTGTTGCGTGCCGTCAAGTTGATTCCAACTCATAGAGACCCTATAGGACAGAGTAGAACCGCCCAATAGAATTCCTGGGCAGAAATCTTTACAGTAGCAGATTGCCAGGTCGTTTCTCCTGTAGAGCCACTGGTAGGAACCACCGACCTTTCAGTTAACCAACGGAGTGCTTAACCATTTTGCCACTAGGGCTCCTTACAGGCTTCCTTAAATACTCTCAATTCCTTACTATCACCAATGGAGATCATTTACCAATTCCCATCAAAAAGTCTTATTTCCTTTTAGCTCAGTGGCGAAGTTACCTTCGAGGTTCACTGTTCAGCCTGGGAGTGGACAGCCCAGTAAAACCATGAGAGTAACAAGGTACAGGAGTCCAGTGA